CCGCACAGTGTATGCTTGTGCAAGTGTTCTATCACAGCTCGAGCCAAAAAGTAAGATCGGGGACAACAGATGACACATAGGAAACAACACAACAAAACTGTATTCCGCATGAGTTACACAAGGTAGGCACACCACTACACAAATATCATCAATAATAATTCCCCTAGGCCATCACAATTCATCACAAATCATCCCCGACATAGCCCCTTGTCTCGCCACGTGCGCAATAATAAAGTAAATGCCCGCCTTGTCTCGCCACGCGGCAAAATAATATTCCTGCCTTGTCTCTCCACATGCGCAAACCCCGCATTTATAGCCCGCATTGTCATGCCGCATGTGAAAATATCAATAATAATAATAATAATAGTACGGACAACTCACGCGCGATCACCCTGACAAATCCTCTCAACAATACCACATGTGCCAAAAATATAACAACACAATATAACAACTCGCACCACATATGCCTATATGCCACAACATTTCCTTAAAAACAATTCCAATACCACAACCATACATATCCCTCGGCTCAACAACAACAACAATACGGGAGTGCAACAAGTAAATCAACACAAGAGTTACAAAACGGAAGAATGAGCTCACAGTGAATGACATAAAAAGTAATAATGGATTCAAATAAGAATAACTCAACGATGAGAGAGGCAATGTATAACAACAATATCAAATAAGAATAACTCAATAATATGAGAGATAACATATAACGGTGATTTCAAATAAAGATAAATCACAATGGAAGAGATAAGATGTAACAATGACTTCAAATAAGGATAAATCGACAATGAAAGAGATAACATGTAACAATGACTTCAATTAAGGATAAGTCAATAATGGAAAAGATAACATGGCAATAGGAGAGGCAACAACTTCAATTAAAGCATATAAGAATATATTTGGCAATAAAGGATAGAACATGAACCAATCAACTTCAAATAAGGCATGTAATGGTAAATTTAGCGATGGATAACATGATAAGGCAACTTCATTTTAATGTACATAAGAAACCTAAGAGTCTAAAACGGTCAAATTTTTACAAATAATCCGTGTACACACTCGTCACCTCGTGTACACGTCATCCACGTAGTCCAAATAGTGCAAACAAATCAATCATTACAGGGTAGTTCCCCTACACAATATTAGGTAAGATACTTACCTCAAAAGCCCCAATCAATACTTTAAAATAGATTTACCTTTACAATTCACCTCTGCTCGGCTCAAATCTAACAAAAATCGACTCAATAACATCAAATAATGCAAGAGAAATTAAATTCCAATAATTAAAGCTATGATCTTTACACAATTCCTCAAAAGTCAACCCCGGGCCCATCCGATCAAAGCCCAGTTCTAAGGGTAGATTCTGATTACCCATAAACCCACGAGTCTATATACGTGTTTTTTTCAAAATCTGAGTCTAAATCGACTCTAAAAACTTAAATTCTCATTTTTCGAAACACACACAAGGTTTCTCAAAATTTCACTTTGATTCTCATAATTTTGATGTAAAATCTCATATATAATCATGTAAAATAGTTGTAAATAGATCAAATTCACTTACCCAAAGATTGTAGATGAAAATCCCTCTTCAAAATCGCCTCCTACCGAGTCCAGGTTTCCAAAATATAAAAATGAGACCAAAATCCCGTCCCTCAGCTTTTATGTCCAGTCGCAGGTATCGCAAATGCGACCCGAGGTTCGCAAATGCGAGGAAATGACCGTAAAAGCGAAACCCCTCACACCCCTGCTATCATCGCAAATGTGACGACTTGTTCGCAAATGCGAACTGTGGACCATCGCAAAAGCGATCAAATCGATCGCAAATGCGACCACTGCCTAGCCCAGATCTCCATCGCATATGCGAACACGGGGTTCGCAGATGCAAACATTACGGAGACCAGCTAATATCGCAAATGTAATGTCCCCCCCCCCCCCCTCGCAGTTGCGACTTCGCAAATGCAATCAATGTCTCGCTAATGCCAGACCTGACGCATCTGTGCAAAACCAGCAATGCTAGAATCATTGTAAACACTCCGATACTCATCCGAAACTTACCCGAGCCCTCGGGACTCCAAACCAGACATCAATACAAGTCTAAAAATATAACATGAACTCGCTCTCACGATCAAATCATAAAAATAACATTCGAAACCTTCAATCAGACCTCCAAAACTCATGAAATCAACATGAAACTCAAGAACTTCTAAAAACAAAACCGCGCGTCCGATTCCTATCAAATCAACTCGGAATGACGCCAAACTTTGCAAACAAGTTTCAAATGAAAAAATGGACCTATTCCAAGTCCCGAAACAGAAATTCAAACACGATATCTATGAAGTCAACCTACGGTCAAACTTCTAAATCTCAAGTTGCTATTTTTTGGTAAAACAACACAAATCAACCTATGGACCTACAAATTCGATTCCGGGCATACGCCCAAGTCCAAAATCACGATATGAACCTATTGGAGCCATCAAAAAACCGTTCTGGGGTCGATTTCACAAAATTCAACCTCAGTCAATATTTTCAAATTAAGCTTCTAAAGTAAGAACCACTCATCCAAATTCATCCTGAAACATCCAAAAATCAATTCCGACCATGCACGCAAGTCAGAATACACAATATAAAGCCACTCATGACCCCGAACCACCGAATGGAATCTTAAAGCTCAAAACGACCACTATGTCGCCCCATCGATAGCCCTCGCCAGCGCCGCGCACAGAATCTGATTCTAAAGACAAGGTTGCCGCCAACGGACCTGGTTCTACCTTGTAGGAATCTAAGTCCTTTTTATTGTAAATATAGAGTAGTTTTACTTCCTGTATTTTCATTACGTCTCTCTACCTTTGTTATGTCAAGTCCTATAACTTTGGTTTATTTTTGTAAGCATTTTATAGGGGGGGAGGGGTCAAGTAATCAAACTTTCAAGCAAGCAAACAATTCTCTGTATTGATGTCTCTCCCCCTAGTCACTGTGTTGCCTTTCTGTAATAGCTTTTATTAATGCAATCAAGCTTTCTTTCATTCTCATTCTCTTTTTTGTTCTCTCAATTGCTCTTGACATTGGTTTTTCTGTACGGCACTGACAGTCTCGTCTAGCATACGGGGGGGACTCCAGTTGACGGATAGCAACCGCACGGACATCGGTTGCGCAGCCTTACGTCTCCTTTCCAAGAAATCTTAGGAAGGCGCCACGTAACATCTACTCTACCAATTCACAAGGTCAATCAGCAAGTTACTTTTCTTCTTTTTCATAAGTGTTTTGCTAAATTGAAAAAATGTTTTCTTAGAAATACTGATTTAGGGTCCTTTTTAAAAAACAATTATTCTTGCAAGTCTTCGATCCGTTAAGTATTAATTTTCAACTTATATTCCTCAAAAATTATTTTTGCACAACTTATTTAAGAGCTCTCAAATTTAAACAGTAGCACGGAAATAACTTATTTTACTATTTAGTGTAGTACTTATCATGTTTTTTGACGGCAATAGCATGTATGCATTTGAGCAAAATAAAAATCATTGCAATCTGTTGTCAAAAGATTAATGATGATGCAATTCCTTTGATGTTTCTCCACACGTTTGATGTGTAATAGTGAATGTTTAATGATGAAAATCGTCGGTGCAGTCTCAAACCTCATCCTCAAAGAAAATTACTTAATTTAGAACTACTACATCCATCAAAATCAAGATGAAACTTTAACATTTTCTTAACATTCTCTTAAGAATAATAGACTTCTGAGTATGAGAGTCAATTTTTTTTAATTTCTAGAGTGAATTCAAAGAACCAATTCTTAATAACTACATATAAAAGTTTTTTTGAAAAAATCATAACAAAATAATTTACATTAAATAACATATAGTTAAAGAATTTTTACTCGATGATGTAGTCCGGCCTATTTCAACAGGATATCTACTCTATTTTTCAAGCTGTCTACTAACACTACTGTAAACTTGGCAAAAAATATAAGTAGGCAATACTTAAGAAAATTTAACAAAATCATAGTAGCAGTAAGTAAATAACAAAAATGGTAAATTAACGTCATTTCTTGACAGAAACATAAAAAACTAGACCGATAACCACGTTAAAAAAGAATTCCTAACAATTTATGCCCTAATTTATATTGTAAAAAAACAACAACAAACCCAGTTTGATCCAAACAGGTGGGTCTGGGGAGGGTAGTCTGTACGCAGACCTTACCCCTACCTAATACAGGTAGAGAGGCTATTTCCATATTGTCATCCTTGATATTTTTTTTACTTGTTATTTACCAGTATAATTATAGATGTTATTACCGAAGAAATTCGAAAATCTAAACCTACACTTAATGAATATTTCGAATAGGTTTAGTATAACTTAGTTAGCAACATTTAATTATCTAAAAACTTAAGCTATGTATAGTCCATTATTATATCATTTACATAATTAATATCGTTAAATATACAATATTCCAGAAATATTCTGCAAATATATCATAAAATTATTCCATAAGGGAATTCTTCCATTATATACATTTTATATAATTAATTATTGCTAATTAAATTGAAATACACCTTAATTATTCCATTATTATACCTTTATATAATTATATATTGCTAATTAAAATATATGTTGAGAAAGGGGTAACTTAGACATTAATGTATAAGGGCAATTTAGTCATTCCACTGTATCCGTTAGTTATTTCCAGTAGTTAATTAACTTCAGATTATTAGTTAATTAACTACAGGTCTATATAGATAAAACAGTGTAATTAGTCACAGATGAAATAATGAGATTTCTATTCTCTTCTCCACTCATTCTCTCTCTAACATCTCTCTAGTCGATACTCTCTTCTTCTTCTTCCTTGAATTCAGATTCCATAATCTGTAATTTCACCATTAATTTCATGGTATCAGAGCGGCTGAGCTTGAATTTCTAAGCTCGTGTTATCGATCTTCTTAAAATATGTTGTTTACTGAAATTTCGATAAAATTTCTTGTGAAATCTTGTCAATGGCGAATGAACGAAGTCTAGGTCTTGGAACTGAATCTCAACAACATGCAGGAGAGCAGTTGAGTTCTGGAGGTGTGAATCAAACGGTTGGAACTGGAAATCAATCAACTGGAATAGATTACAATCATCCTTTGTTCTTATCGCCAGCTGATGTGAGCGGAATTCAAATCATTTCATTCCAACTCACAGGTATTGAAAATTACTCAATGTGGAATCGATCTATGCGTGTTGCACTGTTAGGAAGAAATAAGTTAGGTCTAATTGATGGCTCATGCAAGAAAGAAAATTTTCCAGAAATTCTGTGGAGTCATTGGGAGAGAGTAAATGCAATCGTTCTCTCATGGATTATGAACTCTGTTTCTAAAAATCTTCTAGGCGGAATTATGTATGCTTCGTGTGCCCAAGTAGTCTGGGAAGATTTGTCTGAAAGGTTTAATAAAGTAGATGATTCAAGATCCTTTAATTTGCATAAAGAAATTGCAACTCTGTCTCAAGGTACGGCATCTGTGTCAGTATATTTCTCAAAGTTGAAAGATATGTGGGAAGAGTTTGAAGCCTTGGTCCCTGCACCAGGTTGTGATTGTCCCAAGTCTAAGAAATTTGTGGTATATCTTCAAAAGCTTAAGTTGTATCAGTTCTTAATGGGACTTAGTGACTCATATGCCCAGGCTAGAAGCCAGATTCTGATGAGAAGCCCAGTCCCTACAGTTAATCAAGCCTATGCTATGATAATTAGTGATGAAGGTCAGAAATCAATAACCAATGCCACAGGAATTTTAGGTGCTAATCCTGCAATGATGGCAGAAAATTTTGATGCAGCCATGTACTCAAGGTCTACAGGAAATCAAAGGTTCAAGAAAAATTATAATGTACAGTGTGATTTCTGTAAACTAAAGGGACATACAAAAGAAAACTGTTACAAAATTGTGGGATATCCTCCTGACTATAGACATAAAAAGAAAGGAGGAACTGGAACCAATGCTGCATACAATGTTATGACTGATAATATGATGCAACAGGCCTTCAGTAACTATAATGAAGGTCCTCTACAAGGTGTTAGTATGAATATGAGTCAAGGATCTGAGGACAAAGGGCCTGTGAATGAAATAAACTTCAGTAATCTGAATCAAATAGCAGGATGCACTTTCACAAGAGAATAATATGATCAAATTCTTCAGCTTCTCAACAAACCTGGAACCAGTCAGGCTTCAAGCAAAGTGTCAACCCCTGCAGCTAACACAGCAGGTATTAGTTGTGCTCTAATGGTCTCAAATAGTCCTCAAGAGTGGATAATAGATACAGGAGCCACAAATCACATGGTGGCAAATTTGAAAATGCTTAATGAAGCCACTATAGTTAAGTCTGAAAATCCAAAGAAAATCTTCATGCCAAATGGAGACATTTCATATGTGACACACACAGGGGCCAGCATCATATCAGAAGGGAACACTATTACTAATATGTTTTATGTTCCATCTTTCAAGTTCAATTTACTATCAGTCTCTAAACTGACAAAGGAGTTACAGTGCTCAGCAGCCTTCTTCTGTTTCAGGAACTCTTCAGTGGGAAGGTGAAGGCGATTGGTAGAGAAGATGATGGTTTATACATACTGGAGACATAAAAGATAGGAACATCCTTAGCAGTAACAGCTGGAGCAGAAAAGAATGACCAGAACAACACAACTACATCAGAGGAAATAGATCTTTGGCACAAGAGGTTTGGCCATACATCATCTACAGTTCTCAAAAGACTAATACATAGCAAAACTGATATTATAGTTGATATAGTAAAGCAATGTGTAGTTTGTCCTTGTGCTAAACAATTAAGACTACCATTTCCTATCAGTAGCATTAAATCTATAAGCAAGTTTGATCTAGTTCATATGGACTTGTGGGGACCATACAAGACTTCTACATATGATGGTAATAAGTATTTTCTAACTGTGGTGGATGATTTTTCAAGGATGACTTGGGTGTTTTTGCTTAAACAAAAGTCAAAAGTGTGTGTTGTATTACAACAGTTCCTAGCTCTAGTTAAAACACAATTTGATAAAATTGTTAGAGCTATCAGAACTGACAATGGTACTGAGTTTATAAACTCTATATGCAATAAAATGTTCAAGAAGTATGGTATTATTCATCAAACATCATGTGCTTATACTCCTCAGCAAAATGGAATTGCTGAAAGAAAGCACAGGCACATTTTAGAGGTTACCAGGGCAATAAGGTTTCAAGCTGAAATACCAATAAGGTTTTGGGGTCATTGTGTAACTGCAGCAGTCTATTTAATAAACAGGCTTCCAAGTACTGTCATCAATAACAAGACTCCTTATGAAAGGCTATATCAGAAACCTCCTTCCTACACTCACTTAAGAGTACTATGATGTCTATGCTATGCTAAGATCACTCATCAACTTGACAAACTCTCTTCAAGATCCAAACCTGCAGTTCATATGGGATATTCTGAAACTCAAAAAGGATACCTGCTATATGACTTACAGGATAGGGTGTTCTTTGTTAATAGAGATGTAATCTTCAGAGAAGATGTCTTCCCTTTCAAAAGGAAAGAAGTTTGTTCAACTCCTATATTTCCTACTCCAAATTCTCAACTACAAAATCTTAATCTACCTGTTTCTGATCATATACCTGTCCTTACTCAGACAGCAGTTCAACCTTCAAACATTAGTATGAAAACTGAACTTAACCAATTTCCTGATCCTATACAAAATAACTCCAGTGAGAATCAAGTCATGGACAATGTACTTATAGACTCTCAAAATGGAGACTCTGAGAGATATGAAATGCCAACTACAAGTTATATACAGAGCCCAAGGCCAGTAACTTAAAGAAGATCTGACAGATAAAAAAGACCACCTATATGGCTAAGTGATTTTGTGTCACTCAATATTCATCAAGAGGTTCCATATCCTATATCAAACTATATTAGCTATGAGGGTCTGTCTTCATCCTATAGAGCATTTATTTCTACCTCCTCAAATATTACTGAGCCTACTACTTTTGCAGAAGCAATAAGGGATCCTAAATGGATAGAGGCTATGAAGACAGAAATAGATGCATTACAGAACAATAACACATGGGAAATAGTGACATTGCCTGAAGGAAAAACACCAATAGGGTGTAAGTGGATTTACAAAGTAAAATACAAGGCCTCAGGTGAAATTGAGAGGTTTAAAGCTAGATTGGTGGCAAAGGGGTACAGCCAAAAAGAAGGAATGATTATCAAGAAACTTTTTCTCCGGTAATTAAAATAAAAACTGTCAGAACAGTTCTTGCAATTGCAGCAAAAGAAAAATGGCATATACACCAAATGGATGTGTATAATGCATTTCTTCAAGGAGATTTACATGATGAAATATACATGGAACTGCCACAAGGATTTAAGAGTCGGGGGGAGAAAGTGTGTAGACTCATCAAATCCTTGTATGGTTTAAAACAAGCTCCATGACAGTGGAATGCAAAGTTTACTGAAGCTTTAATAAAATCTGACTTCAAACAAAGTCAGTTTGATCACTCTTTATTCATAAAGAAGACTTCTGAGGGCATCACTATGGTATTGGTATATGTTGATGACATGTTAATAACAGGTGATAGCTTGAAGTTGATTGAAGAAACAAAGAACAATTTACACCAGGTGTTTAAAATGAAAGATTTGGGTGAGCTAAAATATTTCTTAGGCATTGAGTTTGCAAGGTCTAAACAAGGAATACTAATGCATCAAAGGAAATACACCCTAGAGCTTGTATCAGAACTTGGATTAAGTGCTGCTAAACCTATAGCTACTCCACTGGACACTAATGCAAAACTGACAACCAAAGAATATGATGATCACTGCAAAGGTCAACCTGCAGATGATCCATCTGCAGACATTAACTCATATCAAAGGTTGATAGGCAGATTACTCTATCTAACAGTGACTAGGCCAGATATCTCCTTCAGTGTTCAAACACTCAGTCAATTCTTACAGCAGCCTAAAAGATCACATATGGAAGCAGCAATAAGGATTGTCAAGTATATCAAGAACCAACCAGGAAGAGGAATTCTATTATCCAGCACAAACAACAACAACATCATTGCCTATTGTGATGCAGACTGGGCAGCATGTCCTATTTCCAGGAAATCAGTGACAGGATATTTAATCAAAATAGGAGACTCATTAGTGGCATGGAAATCAAAAAAGCAAACAACAGTGTCCAGGAGTTCTGCAGAGGATGAATACAGGAGTATTGCAGCCACAGTAGCTGAACTTATTTGGCTACAAGGTCTGATGAAAGAAATTGGCATGGAAGTAGCTTTACCTATTGAAATATACAGTGATAGTAAAGCTGCTATTCAGATTACAGCTAATCCTGTATATCACGAGAGAACCAAACATATCGAAATAGATTGCCACGTTATAAGAGAAAAAATAGTACAAGGTCTGATAGTAACAAAGTACATACCTAGCAAAGATTAACCTGCAGATATTCTTACTAAAGGTCTCAACATAGTTCAACATGAATATCTAATGTCCAAGCTAGGAGTTCTAAATATTTTCTCACCACCTAGCTTGAGGGGGAGTGTTGAGAAAGGGGTAACTTAGACATTAATGTATAAGGGCAATTTAGTCATTTCACTGTATCCGTTAGTTATTTCCCGTAGTTAATTAACTTCAGATTATTAGTTAATTAACTACAGGTATATATAGATAAAATAGTGTAATTAGTCATAGATGAAATAATGAGATTTCTATTCTCTTCTCCACTCATTCTCTCCCTAACATCTCTCTAGTCGATACTCTCTTCTTCTTCTTCCTTGAATTCAGATTCCATAATCTGTAATTTCACCATTAATTTCAATATACCAGAACTATATATATATATATATATATATATATATATATATATATATAACTTGGAGATTAGCTAAGATTTATTATTAAACTTAACTTGGTCATATTACTTCGCCCAATGAAATAAAAAATGAAAATCAATGTCATTGTCTAGTACATGTTTCTAGTCGGAATAGGAAACCTACGTGTAAAACATGTAAGAAAAAATAGGAAAAAGATTTCGGATTTTAACGTGATTCCGTTCCAAAATTATAGGTTTTTCTGTTAAGAAATGTAACTATTTAGTTGTTATTTGTGCATTCTGTCTACTCATTAATTTTGCAGCAAAAAAAAAGTTGTTATTAATGGAATAAACAAACAATGATATTATTTTCTTACTTTTTTTAAAAATGCCCAACCTTGTAGTTTTCTCAAACTTGGGCATATAGTTCGGGTTTAAGAGATTGACTTTATAAAACTCTTAAACGATTCGTACATAAAAAATCAAACTCATTTCTTTTGCAGGGCTTGTATGTTCGTGTATTTGACTAAAGTCTGATAAAAGGAAAAAAGAGTATGCATTTTTCAAATTTAAATTACTGCAAAACAGTGGGAAAATGGAGTCATATGCTGTGAATGACGATGATTGTCTTCCATAGTTTAATCATAGAAGTTGAACTTTGGTCCCCTAAGAAAACTAAAAGACACATCATAAATGAGCAAGTTTTAAAAAAAAAAAAAAAAAAAATTCTCTTGGTTTCTCTTTTCTGGTAACGCTTTATCTTTTCTAGTCTATGCTTTTTATTTTTCTTATTCTTCTTATTACTTCAAACTATAGGTGTTAAACGGGTGGGCCGGGCCGGGCTGGGTTGTTATATTTTAGACCCGTACGGGTTACGGTTCGGGCCGGTTACGGGTTGGGGTTTAACGGGTTCGGGTTCATCCCGGGTAAAAATTGAACCGTGAGGGTTACGGGTTGAGGGGGCCGGACCGGGCCGGGTTTAGTGTAATTTAATTTTTTTTTTTTTTTTGTATTTTGTATAATTATTTTAAGTTATATTAATACAAAGTATTAACATAAAGAATACAAGGAAGATGGAAAAAATTGCAC